GCCACTGCTGCACTGTAATTGCACAAGGTTTGGATGGCCCTGCTTCTGTGCTTCCAGAGCTGGGAAATCCCATCACAAGCATGAACATACAGCACATTCAGCACAGCCTGAACTGGTCTTCTCCTAACTTCTGTTTATTCACAGACACACAAACCTCACACTGTGATATTTGACCTCTCGGATACTAAAACTGTCCTAAATGCTGCTGAAGAGATCCTGAAGTACCTGGGTCACGTGGACATACTGATCAACAATGCAGGCATCAGTTTCCGAGGCACAATTGTGGACACGGGACTGGATGTGGATAAGAAAGTGATGGAAACAAATTATTTTGGTCCTATAGCTCTCACCAAAGGTACCTGTGATCTGGATTACAGGGGGACAACGGATTTAGCCGATACCTTCTGCAGGCCAACACAACAAAGCACAGCTTAACTTCTGTTTGTAATTGTATTTGGTACCATATAGTGTAAGAGGGGAGGGAAGTTTTGGTTTATGGGCAGACCTAAAGGAGATGCTTGGGCATGACTGCATGGGAAGTACCTGATTAGAGATACCATCTCAGTTAAAACGCCTCCTGACTCTAGGCTGGCAGGAGCTTATGAAGAGAGAGATGGTTAGCCTGTCTGCGCCGATAAAACCCTAGAGACCGCAGTGTGGGTTCTAGGTGAAGCTGTAGCTTTCCTAGGAAGCTTCTTCAGTTACACAGAAAGTTCAGCCTGGAGCGTGTCAGCTGCAGGAACTGGACAGATACACTTGTGGCAGAAAAGAGCAAGTCCTGCTGACTGTGCCTGTGGGAGACCATAGCAACTCTAACAGCCTTTGTGCAGCCTCATTGGCACAAGGACCCTCCTCATAGGTGAACGTCCCAGCCAGACTGCAGCTTCAGTTAGAGGCGTCCTAAGCACTATCCCTTGCCCAGCCCCTACACCGAACAAGGATCTTGTAATTCACTTGGGTGTCTTTGAATGCTCTGAAAGCATCGATTCTTGACAGCAGTAACGGCAGGGCTGTTATTCTGAATGGGTCTTTTCTGTCTTTTGCTAGCACTTCTCCCCTCCATGATCAAGAGGAGACAAGGCCACATTGTGGCTATCAGCAGTGTGCAAGGCAAAATAAGCATTCCTTTCAGATCCGCATGTAAGTACCTCCACAGAAGATGGGGAAGACATATTTGGGGCACTGGACTGAACGAATACTTGGCTCCTGCTTCCACATTTAGCTCTCTGTAGAGCTGGCTGCATGCAGGGAAGGCAGAGCTGTGCATCATTCTTAGTGCGGTCACAAATCACTGACAGCTGTTGAGGAAGGCACTCAAATACAAAATCTTAGCCCTGTCCTAAAGTCGTTAAGGGATGGGGAAGGGGAATGTGTTTCAGTGTCTTGAAAACACCTTGATATTCCTATCTTAACACTTGAGAGTCCCTATAGCTTTCTGATTAATTCTGTAATTTTATTGTATTTTATCCTTGTTGTTTGCCTGGTTAATCTCCTGTAAGAACGTAGGAACTTTTTGTTTTAATAAGTTATGAAATGCCGTAGTACAACCAGTGCTAAAGTAAAAGCCGAAACTGTTATCTTGATCCAGCAAACTCTTCATGCTAAATCAGTTATGACAAGAAATAATAGTGGTAAGATTACTGGAAAAAGCCTTATAAAAGATGGAAGAACTAGAAGGAGAGCGTTTGGCATACAAGCGTCTGTAAAACACTGAAAAGAAACATAAAAATAGAAAAGTACAGTGATGATGGCATAAGAGTGGTAGGGCATGATGCTGAGTGAAGGAGAGCCTGGAACATCTGGGCCACCTGGCCTTGCAGGTGATGTGGGTACCAACCACACCAAGAAGGATGTTCTGAAGAGCTTCCTGAGCGCCTTCATGGCGATCGGAGCCCCCTGGGCCTGGCAACACACACCAAGAAGGATGTTCTGAAGAGCTTCCTGAGCCTGGCAACACGGAGCTCAGCTCTTGCCCGTGTCCTCAGGCAGGGTACGCAGCCAGCGCTGCTGGTGTCAACCCTGCAGCTGTGTCAAGGTGATGGCAGTCACGGTGGGAGTGACCAAGTATACATGGAAAGGGAGCGAGCAAAAGGAGTCACTCAGCCATTTATCGGGGGAAATCCTGCCCTAGGCCACATTTCTCTACTCCTGTCTGCTTGTGTGATCAGGTTTTGACTTGTCTGCAGCCAAGCTCTGAACCTGCTCTGCAAGTCCATAACGCTCAGCGCATGTAGGCCAGCAGGGTGCTCATCAGCGAATGTCAGCTCTGCCCTCCTGGGCTGGCATCGCGTTCCCCCAGCCCCAGCCTGGCTTATCAAACGCTTCCTGAGCCAGGCTTCACGTCTCCTTTATCGCAAGTGGGAGGCAGCTTGGGTTCACTCCGTACTGCTTTGGCATGGCTGTGGTATTAAGCTCAGGATCCTAGCCAGTTTCCAACTTGAGTATTTACATTTTGCCTTCCTAAATTGCCTCTCACTCCCACTACCTGTTGCTGCCATTCACTAAAAAAAAGCAAACCTAGAAGTTGGAGAACAGCTGCTGGGTTCTTGCTGAGAAGTGGCTGCATTGCAGTGAAAAATCCATTTGGGGGGTGAATCATCCTTCAGCCTTGCTCCTCCTCCTCAGTGCATGGTCCTTTTCCTGTTTTTCAGATGCTGCCTCTAAGCATGCTACCCAGGCCTTCTTTGATTGTCTACGAGCAGAGGTAGAGCAGTATGACATTGACGTGACGGTTGTGAGCCCTGGATACATTCAGACAAACCTCTCTCTCAATGCTGTAACAGCAGATGGATCTCGCTATGGAGGTGAGAGATGATTTTGTGCCCTGTATCTAAAGCGTCTCCACCTCTCTGAGTTACTCCAAGGAGTGCTTGCAATGTATGGCCTTTGGTGGGGACACAGGATAGCTCTAAAGTATCAAAAGACCATTTTAGATGCAGGGTAGGAACAGTAACCCCCATAATTTAGCCTTCTTAGGCAACAACTACTGACTTCTAGCCCAACCATGAATTGTACCCACCTGTGTTCCCATGCACAACTGGCGTAAAAACCAAAACCATACAAGCAGCCATGTACAGCTAGAACAGAGCATTCCTAGGAAAGGTACTTGAGCGTGGGCTTACCTGCTGGCGTTGGTGCTTACTCGGCTTTCCTTTGGCAGTTATGGACAAGAACACCGCCGAAGGACAGACAGCCGCAGAGGTCGCTCAGGTGGTTCTCAATGCAGTGGGACAGAAGAAGAAGGAAGTTCTTGTAGCTGGCCTGACACCCTCCCTGGCTATCTACCTGCGAAACCTCTTCCCCAGGCTCTTCTTCACCTTAATGGCAGCTAGAGCAAAAAAGGAGAGAAAAGCAAAGGACTCTTAGAGCGCAGCTCATTCGAGCAGTAACTGTAGGGGGAGGCGAACCCCCTGCAGTTCAGCTGGGACGTCAGCAGAGAGGCTGCCGCAGGAAAAACCTTTCTCAAAATGCTGCAATTTACCATTGCGTGGGGAGTGGGACATGGTTTCCCCCACATCAGGGCAGGCCCACTTGCTGGAAGACAGCACATAACCCTCACCTCAAGAAGGGCGCTCGGACAAAGGGGGAGAGCTGAGGCTGCCGGGGAGGGTAACTCGAGGGAACGCAGCTTGCAGCAGGGGAGGCCCACGTGCTGGAAGACCTCGCTCCAGGCGTGTGCAGCTTTACTGGCCTGCTACAAATAAAACCCACCTGGTTTGCCTTCACATGAGCAGGTTTTTGGCCTTCCCCACCCCATGGCCCCCATGAAATACGGTCTTCAGCTCTAGTGATCGGTGTCTCCTTCCCACTCCTTCCAGCCTGATCTAGAACGTGTTGCTTGAGTGGGAAACTTCACAGAGCCCCTGCTTGTTAATGTGCCAAATCATCTGATAGGTTAAGCTAAAGTCAAGTCCAGTACCTCTTTTAAAGAAGTAAAATTTAAGTTTCATTTGGCAATTATTTTACAATCCATCTGAATCATGCCTTACTGATGTACGGGGACATTTAACTCTGCACTACCTGACAGTACAGCATTAACCCCAGCACAAGTTAATGCAGGGGAAGCACTGAACAGATAGAAAATGGCGCAGCCAGGTACTGCGCAGCTGATAGCAGCACACCCGCTCCACCTGCAGGCCTAGAGCACAGCATAGGTACGATTCCATAGATGCCAGGCACGCTGTCTCTGGGCAAGCAGAGAAGAATCTGTGTCCATAGGGTGGACAGCATAGGAGACAGACCCTTAATTCCCATCTGTTTTAAAGCAATCACGGATGCTAATTAGGATCACATCCAGTGGGGGAACGATACCCGCCTGTTCACATATCACAGGCTTCAGGGGGTCTGACAGCTTGAGGGGAGGGCTGAATCCCATTCTTCACCCCTTCTCCTCACACGAGGGATGCCAGCAGCACTAGGAAAAAGGAGTGGCTGCACAAAGAGAGTCCAGTAAGGACAGAAATAATATTTTTTAATTTATAATTGAAATAAAGCCTACTAAGTTCCAGACCCCTGCTGCCGTCTCCATGCACTTGCCAGCATTCTCCATGTGTACTGCCTTGTATGTCCTGCCTGTGGGTGCGCATCTGATGACAAATAAATGACGTTGCTATGAAATCAATCCTTTGTTCTACTTCAGCTCCTCACAGCAGGTAACGTTAGAGGAAGGAAAAGCAGGAGGGCTTTGTTTTTCTTTTCTTACATTCCTACAAGGTGCTGCTGTACCACAGCAGTTGCAGAACAACATACCTCCACACCATACCAGCCCTCTGGACATCATCTCCTAGCTTATAGTAGACACAGTGAATCCACACAGAGGATTAGTCACACTAGAACTCTGATACAGGTGTGCAGGCTCAGCAGGACCTTCTCCTTCAAAAACCCTTTTCCTGACCACTACAGATTTAGAAATGGTCTCTGAGAATCCATCCCAGAGGATGTCCGGGACATGTTTAACAATCACAGTGCTGGGACACTAATGATCACCGCTGGGACATCCTCCACCATTTTCACTGTGGCTGAGGTTGCAGATTTGTTACATGAAGGCCGAGGGCTGAAATTACAAGTTGAAGCTTTCAGGTGCATGTATCTTTTTTTTCCTGTTAAGATAGAAAACCAAGGCCTCACCTTCTGTCCCTCTCCACAAGGGGAGTTTCTGTAAGCGTTAGTTGTGCTTTTCCTTTCATGCTTTGCATGTTCAGGTCCTCCATTTCTCAGCAAAATACAGCACTGCCAGCCTTGTCCAGCTGCTCCGCCTCCTGGTGTTTCAGGTCATGGCTACCCGGGAAGAACCAAGGGGCCGCTTTGCATTTCTGTGTCATCATCCAGGGTGCTGAGGGGTGCAACACATCAGGCCTGAGGAAAAAAAAAAAAAAAATTACGCCGAGAAGAACCAAGGGGCCGCTTTGCATTTCTGTGTCATCATCCAGGGTGCTGAGGGGTGCAACACATCAGGCCTGAGGAAAAAAAAAAAAAAATTACGCGTGGGGTGTTACTGTAGTTACTGTTTGAACTACCGCTCCCAGTCAGAGGTTACTACTAAGAGTGTGCGCGTTCCCCTTTGGAAGTAAATTGCCTGTCCGTGACGAGAGGAACGTAGCACGTTCCATTTCAGGGCACCTCCAGAACAGTCAGGATAGGCAGCAAAGGGCGCGGGGGCTTTTGAAAGGCAGGCTTGTCCCCAGCCACCGCAACCCACAGCTACCGGCACGGGGGGAAGGCAGACGCAGCAACCATCCACGCGATGCAGTGAAACACACGACCCTCGAGACCGCTCTCATCCTCCCAGGTCACCCTGCATAGTTACAGCACCGGTTTACTAACAGCCAGGACGTCGCCAAGCATTTTAGCTTAGAATATCACTAACATTTCTGGGAAAACAAGCTCCCCTACCCCCCCTCTACCTCCTCTCCACCTCAGAATGGAGTGAAGGGTGCGGTTTTAAAACAGACCTACCTGTTGTGACAGCTAAGCTGACTTCACCTTCCCTCCTGCAGTAAGAGACCAGAGGAAACTTGCTCATTTTTAACTCCAGCATCTTTGCAAGCCACGCGTTTAGGGAGCCTACCAAGGGTTAGTCCTTCTGCCATAGTCATCCTTCCACAGGCAAGGGAAAGCTTAACCCAAAAAAGTGCCAGGACCACTTTGGTTTGGTGAAAAAAAAGGAACTGACAGCCCTGACAATTACT